GACGCCAATTCCTTTCTCAAGGAGCAGTTGGACGCTGCCTTCCAGAAGAGCTTCACCGTGCATGGCTGCGTCGGTTATGACGGAGACGAAAACACCGACCGCGGCGGTAAGTTCACATGGTCAGCGATATCTCGGATCGCGGTTGACGTCGTGTGCGTCTCCACCGGCGGTAAAATAGGCTTTTGCAGCGTCAGCTGGTTTTCCCCGAGGTCGATGACGGCGCCATACTCGCAGGGGAAGTCCATTCTGAGGAAAACGTTCCTCGAACAGTCTTGCAGAACGACGAACTTCACAGGGCAGGGCACGTCTCACCGTGGATCTCGATGCGAACAGTGCATCTCCCGACTGGTGTGATGAGGTGCCCTCCGGTGGTTCGTATTTGAGGTCCATCCCACGGCGTGGTGACTTTTCGAAGGCGGCGGAAGAGCCTCCCACTCAAGACTGAGTAGTCTGCTCCGGTGTCCACGAGTGCTGATGCGTCGTGGCCGTCGATGCCGACGTTTAGGTTGTTGGACACCGCTGCAGGAGCGTCGTTTCGGTCTCTGGTAGCGTTCGAATGGGGACCCTCCGACGTTCGTGGAGGATCTTGGCTTCGGTCGTCTTCGGCAACTCCACCTCCAGGGGTTGCCGCGCCTAGTTTCCCCGGCGTGGAGCGAGGGGCGACAGGCTTTCACGTCGGGGTCGGTGCATCGGACAAGCTGGACGTCGTGGCGAAGGCGACTGGAACTCTCGACGGGACGCAGGCTCGGGGGACTGAGGTCGTCGCAGGTACTCGTCGATCTCTCCTGAGGGCGTTCACCATACCGGGGGGCGCGGGTCGTTTGGGTGGAATCCGCACAGCCCGAGTCGTCGGTAGGGGCATCGGCGGTACACATGGTCAGCTTCCCCGCAGTGGTAACACAGCGGGCGTCGGTCGGCCGTCCTCTAGACGTCTGTCTTTCTCGGCGCAGGTTGCTCTGGGTGAACGTGCGCCTGATGTTCCTGTCGTCGAGGATACTGCGGTGTTGGGGCGTCTCTTCGGGGTGGCGCCGTGGCTTGGCGGTTAGCTTGCGGTGGTCGTCGGGCCATGGCGGCGTAGCTCAAAGTCGGTTCCTCTGGCATCGTCGTGTTGATCGGAACCTCAGGTTGGAAGGCCCGGTGAACTTCCTCTCGCACGACCTCGGCGAGCGACAGTGAGGACGGGGAGCATCTTGCGGATTTCTTCCCGGACGACTTCACGGATGATGTCATGGGTGCCTGGGAGGTCGGTACCAAGGTCGGATCCGGATGTCGCCAGAGTAGTCACGCCAGGGTGTCGCTCGTAGTGTCTGGCGCGTGCTAGTAGCGCCCGTTCTATATTCGTCAGCTCCGTGACGAACCCGTCGACACTTGTCGGAGGATTGCGAATGAGGCCTCCGAATATCTCGCTTCTCACACCCCTCATCAGGTGCCGCAGCTTCTTCTCCTCTGTAGCCTGAGGATCGGCGCGGGCGCTCAGGCGAAGAACATCCTCGACCAAGCTGGTGATGCTTTCATTCGGGCCTTGCGTCCCTGTTCGAAGGATGTCTTCGGCCCTCTCACGTCGGTGTTGGCTGGTAAACGTCTTCTTTAGTTCTTGCTTGCACACCTCCCACGAAGTTAAAGAAGCCTCGTGGTTCTCCAGCCAAAATCGCGCAGTACCTTCCAGCGAGAAGTAGATGTTCTGCAAGCACTGCTCAGGTGTCCACCCGTTATGACGGGCCACACGTTCATAGTGTTGTAGCCAGTCCTCGATGTCCTCGTGGGCGTCCCAGTGGAAAGGCGTCGGAGTCCGGGGTGTGACGGGTAGGGAGATACCGGTAGAAGCGGCCGGGGTCTGAGACAGGTTGGCCATCGTCGTCTTCTTCGGCCTGGGCTTGTCCGGGAGCAGGCCCAATTCAAGGGACTGACTTCTGGTACAACGACTTCTTCGGACTCCGGCGTCTTCGGCGAAGGGTAGCCTTCCGGGGGTGAGCACGTCGCTTGGCCGGGATGTCCTTGGAGGGGTACGATTAACGGGCATAGAATGGAGTACCCTGCACCTCCACCAAAATGTCACGGGTGGTGACCAAAAGAACAATAAATAAACAGGAAGAAATAAACGTTTGATGTGGCGAACTTGTGCACAAAAATAAAAGGGTTCAAAGATAATAGCAGAGCGTCGCGGGCGTCGAAGTCGGCGTAACAGCATGCAGAGTCGAACGCTGGGGCGAGACTGACTCCATTCGCCTTGCTTATGTACCCTCGTTGGTTTCTGTGTCATTCGGCGTAGAACTTTCGGTTCGTAGAACAATCGGAACACGATCAGGCGAAAATGTTCTCGAACTTACGAGAAGGCCAAGTTGGAACAATAAATAAAATAACAGTCCGCCTTGACTGGAATCGAACCTATACCTTCCGCGCGACAGTCAAGCGCTATAACCACTCGGCCACGCACGCGCTTGCTCTCCAACGTGCGTGGCAATATATACATAAAGTGTCCCGCAACCTCAAGAAGGTAACAAATAGGTACAATGTACCTTTCATGTTCTCTGCGCCATGAAAGTTTGCGGGCCTTTGTCCGAGGATTTCCTCGGAAAGAGAGAAGACGAGTGGCTGCAACAAAAAGCACGCCCGACCGTTTGTGGATTGTGCCACAGCGGTCCCGCTTTCGTGTGGGAAAGTATATATTGGTCACACTGCGCGCTGTGTTAATGACCGCGCACTTGCCGCGTCATGACCGCGTCAATCAGGAATAAAGGCAATGTACACTTGCCAACTCATTGTGCGGACTGCGGGTGTGAGACGCTATTTCAAGAGATCAGGATCTTGGGTAGAAGCAAAGATAGCACAGCCAGAGAACTGATGGAAGCGTTTTTATATAAAGAAGGGACGTGACTGTGTTAGCGATACCTTGGTTTGTTTGTTTGAGAGTGAAGTCCGGTTTTTATCCGGGTTGCTGGTGTGATAATGACTATCGAGGAATGTGTCTTGGTGGGCGACTTTTCTATCTGTTTTCTGTTTCCTTTTTCCTTCTATGTAGCGTGCTGCGCATGCTCTTTCTGGATGTTCGGGGTCGATCGAGCACGAATAAACTAGTTCAAAGTTGCGCCTGTTTGTGTCTACTCGCTTGTGAATGTCCCTTGTGTCACACAAAACACTTCTAGACTGCATCATGAACCAACTAAGCCAACAACAAGTTTTAATATATATATATATTGTCCTACGGTGGTTTCGGTTGTAAAACCAATCAACCTGATTTAATGTTGTAGATATGTACTATCTCTTGGCTCATTTTATAGTTATTTATATATTTGTTTTGTGCGCTCCATAAACGGTGAAATACTACGAATGAGTTCTGTTTCGTGAACTGAATAACTTATTTCATGACTCTGGAATGGACTATTCGTACACGGGTATACAGTGATGCCAAGTCCTTGTTCATCCCATTGTCTTCAATTAAACAACAAGGAATTCCTTCTTTTCGACTAAATTTAATTCGGTTGAATGGCACCTTCGGCTCTTCGACTCCACTAGTTATTTTGTTTTAACACGGAATGTGCTTCGTGGATCGTTTGTATGAAAAAATTATGATGAACGAGCGTCATGAACGAGGGTCATGGACAAACGTTACACGAGATAAGAATTAGAAATGTATATTAAAAAACAAACAGGAAATAACAAAATAAGTATGTGATTTGTGCTGGATACATTATATGTGCTCCCTTCAACAGCATGATCAACTTTGTGTAATTTTTTACCGTATCGCGCACTGCATCGCCCAGTCTAAAAGAAGGACGATATAAAAACAGGTCATATCGCTTTAGTTTATGAAACAAATAAGGGACACAGAAGACAACACAGACGGCACAGGCTTGTCTCCTATGTCAGTCAGGCTTTCGTCTTTCGTAATTTGTCAAAAACGCGCTCAAGCATCCTAAAAGATTCCGTTTAACTTGTAAACTTGGGATACTTCTTTATTTGCACCTTTTTCTACATAAATATTCAAAAAGAATATGGTTAGGCCGGATATGGCACCTAACCATATCCGGTTAGGTGCCAGCAACGGAAGTTGACAGGCGCCGACTGCCAGCCAAACACTGACGCGGCGCTCGTCTGCTTACTAAATGGACATCAGTGCCAGCCGCACCTCTTCCTCGGCCGCCTCCGCGTTACTTCCGGAAGGTGTAAAACATCCCGTGTTTAGACACACAGGGACGCTCTGATCCGTGATACGAGCGCGCTCCGGACTTCCTGCCAGGAGAAAGAGCTCAAAGCAGAAGCAGAAAAAGCAGAAAAAATTAAGAAAAAAACAAACTCCTTAGCCGCAACGGGTGTTTGGTTATTTTTGCCGCGAGCTTGCGCCAGGGCTACACGCATCAAGGCTGGGGGTTCTGCTTGGCGCTGCCGCGTTGCAACTGCTCTGTTTCCCGCACGCTCCCGCACGCACGTCTTCACGCACACAGGCCTACTGCGTCTCACACTCCAAAAAAATCTGCGGAAGTTGCATTTACACTGAAACAGCAGAACATTGCACCAACAAGTGAGGCATTGGGGGATCGGTGGCCGAGTGGTCTAGCGCACACCAGCTCAGAGCACGTGGAGCGAAAGCTCGCGCTGCAGAACCCAGGGATCCTGGGTTCGAGCCCCACCCCTGCCCGTTTCGATCTGGATGAGCATCGTACCGGCGTGCGGTCGTGTATCACTACTGCGTGATGCACGTTAAAGACCCCAGGCTAGCGGCTGTACCGCACTGGCTAAATTTCTCATCTACAGCTGGGAGACTCGTCGCCCCTGTGAGGCAGACCAAGTTCTAGGCTGTATAAACACACACACAACCCAATTTTTTAAGTGAGGCATTCACGCGGAGCTCTCACGCGCTTACCCTGCACGAGGCCGCTTCCCGTCATCCAGTCTTCATGCGTGTGTATACGGTCTTTCTGTACTAACAAATCATATTCTGTGTTATCCCTGCCTTTGCCACGCTAGGACGGCAAAGGGACGTGTTTCTTAACGGTACTCACGCTGAGCTTTGTCCATACTGAACCATAAATGGATATGTTCCATTTACTCCGGGACCCGTGCTAGTAAATCTGGTACACATATCCATACTGCCAAACGCTGGGTCCGTCTCATAGTTCCTGTACACTGAGTACCACGTCTCCTCGAAAGGAATGCACTGCAAAGATAAATCAAATAATAAATTAAAAGAGAAACACAAATAAAATATGTTGTATACCAAGGGTGCTAATAAGTTTTGCCTCCTGGGAACTCTCTTGTATTCAGCAATGGTACAGATACGTGTTATGTTCAAATAAAAGTTTCAAGTCTCTTTCTTCCAGGGGCATATCACGTTTTAACATAGCCCTCACCGGCGACGATGCACTCCCGCCACCGGTACTCAAGTCTCCTCGTGCAACCTTGGAAGAATTAAGGAAGCTGTTGACGGAATCCAACGGCGCGCTGCAAGGGTGACCTCCTTGTCGGGCGCAAGCCGCGTGCCCTTCAGATGTTCATTCGTCTTGGGAACAAGCCAAAAGGCTCATGACGCGGGTTTGGGCTGTAAGGTGGGTGAGGCAAAACATCTTGGAACTGTAGCTCCTCCAACGCGGCGTTATACTCTCGTCAACAGCCGCCCGGTTGACGAGACGCTTCCAGTACGATAATGCTCCATAGTGATCTTGGCGCGACTGGTTTAGAAGCACCCTTTTGAAGCTTCCATGATTTGAAGGGACCAGCGTGGTTATTACCATGGCAACGGGGACCGATTAGCCAATTGCCTTGCGGGGTTTTGGTCGTCAGTATGTTGGTATCGGTTTATGTCCGGCTAGCAGGCACAGAAGGCTATGACAGTATTTCATGAGGATCCAGTGACTATAATAGGGACTACTTCAGTTAAATGTGACGTACTCCTGGAAAAAGAGGCATTCCAAACATTCATTTGAATGTAGCATCTTTCAATTTCATCGGGGAGCAAAGAAGATATGGCTCAGGAGGCAAAGCGTTAGTCAAACTAGTGTCGCCAAACCTGTTGCACAACTAAATAGATACTACGACGAAATTTTTGCGCTTATTTCTTTGTCTTTACGTGTTCAAGGGAGCAGCATCACATCGGAAACCCCAGCCTCTCGTTAAAAAAGGCTTCAAAGGGAAATTTAAAACGAATTAAACGATTAGAAATTGGCACCTGGTGAATGTTTCTAGGCCTCGTTTGTAATCTCCGTCTAGGAACATTGGCAGGTAGTGACGATGCCTGTCTGGCCTAAAACTGGAGCCTCACTGGTGCCCTGTGCGTGTAAGCATGTGCAGTGTGCGCGTCAACGTAGCTTTGCCAAGCTTGCAATTGCACGCACTTGCCCGCACGAGCAGAGACACGGCGGCGGCCAGATGCCCTGCTTTCAATCGTCTTGTCGACGTCAGCCTCGCCGCAGCTTTGCTCGTCCCGAGACAGGCTACGTTACGATTGCGGCTAATGTCACGTGCTCTCCGTTGGATGCTCTCCGAGCGCTTACAAAAGTGCGCCATTCTTAACGGGGTAAAAAAATACAGCCATGAGGTTCAAAATGCAGATGTGAGATTGCCATCTACGGATATCATAGATCATATTCAGTCTGTTTCCAAACACGACGGGTATATTTAATATTTCGGGGAAGTATCTTTTCAATGTAACTTTTGCATAGTGCGGAAATTTTAATTAAAGCAGATTTGCACTCTGCACTTTTAGAAACTCCCGCGCGAGTGTAGTGCATCGCAATGCACTTGAACACCAAAAGGTTCACCCCCCCCCCCCCCCCCCCCCCCAAAAAAAAAGGTCCATGCCGGAATCTTGTTTAAATTGCTCCAATGGCCAACGAGCATCAGCTGCAAAAAGGCACGCACACATTTTTCGCACAGAAATTAGGTGTTCTTAAGGTCGCAATTACACCGCTCACACATCATACAAAGGACGCGGAGTTTCACTGCAGACAGGCGACCGAATCATCCGCGGACAAGCCTCAAGCATCGTCAAAGCATGTTTGCTTTGTACGTGTGTATGCTTCTGACATCTCTGCATACATTTATTGTATGAATAATATGAAAGAACCTTCATAGAGCACACATGTACAAGTTACTCAAAAAAATGTAGTTAAGTTAAGTTACTGAGTATTGACCTCAAAAGTAATCTGAGTAGAGTAGAAATTACTCAAATAAAAAGTAATTGACAAAATTACTAATTACCGTACAAAATAACGAATTACTTTTGAAGTTACTTTTATATGTGTTTTTTATGGTATCAAGAAAGTACATATGTTTTGATCCATTAGTGAAAATGTGCTAGCCGAACATGAATCGGTTTGTTTTTTCACAGAAATGCTTTAATAGCTGGTTCTGCTTCTGCTTGCCCAATTTTTTTGTACTTTGTTTTTGTTGTTGTTGTTGTTGTTTTTGTCAAAGATGTACTGCGAATGCTGTTGAATATTTTCAGAAGCGATCGGTCAGAGAGATAACACGATGACGATCACGAAAGCCGTCTTAAAGCACCCATCAATATTTTTTTTCTTATTCGCTACAGCGCGATTCAGAAACGGGCATCGTCCCATTGAACCCATTTTCTATGCTTTAACCAGTAATATTGCCCAGTTATTTTACAGAAGATTTGGTGCCGAAATCCGGGAGCTCGTCGCCTCATCAGTGGCCCTTACCAGAACCGGAGGACGATCTGACGACATGGAACGGGTCAGAACAAAACGGACGGCTTGTCGCGCTCAAACAACCCGGCTACTCAATGAGGTCAGTACTGTATTTTCTAACGCAGCCTACGACCTGAAATACCTTTGATTGTTGCACGAACGATTGAGCCGCAGCAGCGAGGTGCTCAAGACCCTGAATCGGGAGTTGGAACAATTTGTGGCGGATGGAGATTTAAAGCAACAATACGAGAGCGTAATGAATTACGAAGAACAAGTGGCCACCGCTCTAGTGACACTGATGTACCACATTGACTGGCTGAAGTGCAGTCAAACAGTTGCGGCAGCTCCATCAACGTCTTAAATGGGAGAACGACATCGCGAGGAAACTCCAACGTTGGTGACAAAGCTACCGAAGCTGCAGAGATGCTGAAATTTAACGGACATATCAGAGAGTGGCAGTCCTTCTGGGGTATGTCCCTCAACACCGTCCATAAAAATGCGCAACTGCGGAACATAGACAAGTTTCAATACCTGAGATCACTTCTCACCGGAACAGCTGCCAAGGCTATCGCTGGCATTCAAGCATCGGACTCTTGCTACTCCGACGCAGTGGAAATTCTAAAGGAACGATTTGGCGACACCAAGCTTATAATACAAGATCATCTAGCTAAGCTTCGGACTCTGCAAAATGTCAAATCATCTAGCGACATATTCGCCCTGCGCAATTTATTTGACACGGTTCAGATCCACATCAGAGGACTGAAAGCTTTAGGAGTCGACACCATTTCGTACTCGGATATATGTTGTACGAGATTTTAGTGAAGCGACATCGTTATGGAATACTACCGGCAGCAAAGCTTCGGTGGCCCAAGCACGTCGGCAACAACATTGGCAAGCGACGACCTAGACGGAATTTTGGAATATTTGACGGTCGAAGTAGAGATTCGAGAGAGGAGGCATGGGTTCAGACCGAGCTACAAAAGGCAGCGGTCGGTCTCCTGAACACACTCCAATACCACACTCTATACAATCAGCAGCAGTACTCCACAATCGTACGAAGCCGTCGCCAACAGATTGATTTTTCTGCGGCTCGCAGATGCACAAGAAGGAAGAGTGTGCCACAGAAAGAACTTTAGAAGAAAAGAAAAACAAACTCGCACAAGACTGGCGCTGCTACAGGTGTACAATGCGAGCTCACCAAGCTCGGAACTGCAGACGGCGTATATCGTGTGGCACGTGCAAAGGGAGGCACGCGACAACCATGCGCGACCCCCGCTGAAGGAGTGCAAAGGACAACGCCCAAGAGGAAAATTTTAAGGCATTAAATGCCTTCACTGATGAAAGCATTAGAGGAAAGGAGAATCCCGCAAGTCTTGATGTAGACATTCAGATAGTGGGTCGCCGGTAACGGAGACTTCATCTATGCGAGGGGGATTCTAGGTGGTGGGAGTCAAGGGACATTCGTCCGAGAAGACCTTTCTCGTCGATGTAAAATGCGGGTGCTGGGTGAAGCAAGCCTAAATATTAACATCTTTGGATCAACCCAGCTGCGAAAGCAACAAAGAGAGATCGTTGAAGTGAAATTGACGAGTCAATACCATCAGACAGAGTACGTCTTAGAAGTGGTGGAGGTACCACATATTTGGAACGACATCGAGAAGCTCCCAATAGACCTTGGATTTATAAGTCCCTGCGGGAAAAAAGCAAAACCCTCTCAGATGCGTGCCTATTTGCAGGAATCAACTCGGCTCAAGGTATCATTTTGTTGATTGGAGCCGACCATGCAGCTTTGGAAAATTGTCAAAGGAAAAGTCATCCGAAATGCAGACCAATCAATCATGGCTGTCAATACGCGCCTTGGATGGACTGTGCAAGAACCGACGGAAGCATCGTGTTCCCTGACTAACCAGTCAAACGTGGTTGCGTGCGCACTTCGTATCGACGCACTTCAGAAAAAAGAAGAAAGAAGCTTTAGTAAAATAGATAAATGGACTAGTTGGTACATCACTGAATGGAAAGCGCCGAATAAACAAGAACGAAGAAGGGGATAGAGACGAAGCGCTTTGTCTTTGTCCCCTTCTTCGTCCTTGTTTATTCGTCGCTTTCCATTCAGAGAGAAGCTTACAAGCATTTTGGGACATGCAGTACATTGGAATTTCAGGCACTATGGTCAAGTCAGCCTATGAAGACCAGGTACTCAAAAGATTTCAGGAATCAGTTCGTGTCAGCGAAGGACGGTATGAAGTATTCCTTCCGTGGAAAACCGACTTGACGAAGCAGCTTGACAATAACAGAGATCTGGCGGAAGCTAGGCTGCGTGGACTGGTCCGCAAGCTGCAGAAGGACAAGGTCCTTCTAGAGAGCTACGACAGCGGTATTCGTCAGTACCTGCAAGACGGTCACGCAGAAGTTGTTCCCGACGCAGTAGCAGATAACGTCATGAATGAGTCCGAATATTTCTAATGTATGCCACATCATGCAGTACTGAGAGAACAGTCTGTCACAACGA